CCCACCCACACACACCACCCCCATGAACGCATGGACAACAAAGATAAAGGTTAGGAATAGGCACACTAATTTAATTGCAGGATGTAGTTCATTTCCTTCATATTAATTCAAACAGAATTATGTACTGTCAAAAAACTCAAAACCATACAGTTTAACAGTTATTAAATTAGAAATAAATATGTTGGAAAAAAATTCAAAAGAAAATCCATTTGTACACAAGTTTGATGTTCTTATTATAGCTCCTGATGCCTAGTGATGGATGTTCTTTTAGTGCCGCTGGTAATTTGTAGTGATATTTGATCCCTTGTCTTATGGACCAATCGGCAATCCAGTTTCCATTCCCTTCATCCAACGCGAAAGAAAAGTACAGAAGCTTTCAAGTGGAACAAACATGTCTATTAAATTTGGACAGGTTATTCCCAAGTGTAGGAATTACTACTGTCTTTCCTCCTACAACTCTTTTAACTAGTATTACACTAACTTTATGGACTACATCAACGAATCGAATCTAGCTTGTTAATTTTGGTTTTATGTGAACTCAACAGCTCTTGTCCAAATTCTATATATATACCAGAAATTTATATCTATAAAATTTGATAGTGAATCTAATTATTATTATATATATTAATTTAAGGTGGGTATAGAAATTCATAAACTTCAACTGCTTGATTTTGCTCGACCAGCAATAAAAGTAATCATTTTCTTTCATATCAAACTCGGACACATGCTCTCAGTCACTACCATATCACCAACATATTTTACACTCCACTAAATTCATCATCTGATAAACCTACCAACTACTGTTAGTGATTGCATGTAAGGTCTTTAATTACATGACACTACACTCCCATTAGTCTCCTCTACGAAAAGTACTGGTTATTTACTACTCCTATTATCAGCAGTTATATACACTAAGATCGAATTTATATATGTCACTTGTCAGTGTGTTTATATCCTATTTGAGGCGATAATAAAAATTAGATTGGAGAATAGGGTCAAACCCAAGAAACGAGGAGATTGGAAACTCTCTCACTTGTCACTCAAATTTAAAATGCATTTGACATTCAAAACACAAAAGCATCTTAGCCTTCAAATGGAGGGACCCAAAGAAATCTGAATGTCATTTTCCAACGTGGGGACTTGTGGCAAACGATACGCAATAACCAATAGTAGTGGCAGCTTCCTAGAAATCAGTGTATTTTCACTGTAATACTAATACAAGTTCACGAGAAGCAAGATTACTGTTTCTGAACACTAATTTGTCTCTTTTCTGCCTCTTTTCAATATTAAGGACTTTGCTTCCCTATCTTGAAAATTGTGACACTAAACCCCCTATACTCTTCAGATATGCGCACACACATCCCCGAGGATATAATTCACTATTGCGGAGAATTTACAAGGTCAAAATGTTATACTCCTGTAACTTATGATTGATCAATCGTATAAGACTGATAAATACAGAAGTACTCAAAATATGGGACTATATGTCCAATTTGTCTATTCAAAAAGCTAATCCAGTTTGCTTTAGTACAAGAGAAAGGTGATTTGGTATCCTTATGGAAAGTATGAGAAACTATATTCCACAAGCAGAAAATGCAAACGGGATAAACTGTAAGTTAATAGAGCTTAGACACTAGTACATTGCATTAATATTAGGAATTTTTAGTTGCAATTACTAGGTTATTAAAATTAGGTTTTCAATCATACACGCTAATAGAATAAAAACTTTACAGTGTCAATGCAGTTTGTTAATTGAATATATCATGTTTTTAGAGCTTAGACAATATAAATTTCTTTCGTCTTTATAATCAGAGAAATTTCAAAGGTTCGGTAGCGTAATTCAAAACACGATGAATAGTGAATTAGCGTCTCCTATCCTCTTCGCTTAAATATCAAACTTTGTCCACAACCGGGTTTAAATACATGATGAGTGCCTAACACATATCAACACTCATATATATCACTGGACCAACAACAACAACAACGTATCCAGTGTAATCCCACAAGTAAAGTCTGGAAAGGCTAATGTGTACGTAGTATTATATCTTAACTCTTATGTTGTATTGGTAGAGAGGTTATTCCGATATACATGCAGCTCAAGGAAAGCAAAGTCACAATAGAAACTACAGTAATCAAGAAGTCATGGGAAAATAAATAGTACTCCCTCCGTTTTAGTTTATGTGAATCTGTTCGAGTGGGCACGAAGTTTAAGAAAAAAAATAAAAATTTGAAATTTGTGGTCCTAACATGTCAGAAAGGGGTCCACAGTATTTGTGTGGTTATAAAAACTTCTCATTAAGAGTAAAATTGGAATTTTAAGCTAAATTGTTTCCAAATTTAGAAAGGAGTTATTCTTTTTGGAACAGACAAAAAAAAAAAAAAATTCACATAAACCGGAACGGATGAAGTAACAAACAATAAGATTTACGAAAACCGAAGCAGAAAAAATATCATATATAATACTTGAGATCTAAAAATAAGAAAATACAAGAATAATAGTGTTGATACTTTAAAACTTTAAATCTCTCTGGTAATATATATCACCGGACCAAAACTTTAAAAATTTAAATCTGTATCTGTGCTCTCTCTTAGAGAAACTGAGATTCCAAGAAAAAAAAGTGGAAACAGAAACAGAGGATGTGTGTTAATATAGTAATGGGTTTCGTGAGATTTTTGTGAAACGTGAAGTGAGTGTTTTTGTATAACGTAAAGTGAGTGGGGATATATTTTCAAGAAACAGTTGCCTACTCGATCAGTCCCAGGAACCACACTTTTTTATTACTTAATACTTATAGTCTTATTAGATTCTGTTCCATTTTTTATTTTTATTTTTCTATTCACCATTACTTGTTTGAAAACTTAAATTTGACTCCACTTTTAAGATTAAAATTTATATATATATATATATATATATATATATATATATATTGTCAAGAGTCAGGAGCATTAGGTCACTGCTTATTTTCAACAGAGTCTATTGTTCTCACTATCTGTTTCTTTAAAATAGAAGAAGGGGTTGATTTAAGCTTCTTTATTCCACTTCAGTTTTTCTTTTCTATTTTTGGATGAAACGAGTGCTAAACATTTAGTTTGTTGATTTACAGACAGATTAAACGAAACTATATATGGTGAAATGGTTACGAACAAAATTTTACATGCATTTTGGTTTTCGTTTAACATAAGATTGAAGGTGGAATTTCAAAGCTATTTTTCGGTAGTTTAGTTAACAAGGAAAAGGAATAATGCACGTTCTACATGATTTTTTTTTTTTTAAAAAAAAATTTAACATTTGAAAAAAAAGAAATGGGAACAGTTTTTACCGCGATTACAAGCTAATGGAACTACAACGTGTTAGCATTTTAGCATTTTAATATTGAAATAAATTATGTCATAACTCTCATTACTCCGTAATGTAGAAAATGGCTATAACTCCCATAACTCTCACTACTCCATGATGAGAAAATGGCTATAACTCTTTTGTAACTCTGCTTCCATGTTCTATCACTAATTACACATGAATTTATCCATTATCCCATGTTCTCCATGATGTCATAACTTATTACCCTTTTTTCTTCCAATTTAATTCAAGGAAGAATTTCTACACCTATAAATAGGAGTCTTTCTTGCATAATGTGGTATGTGCGAAAAATAATTGGGAGTGTTTCAATAAAGTGAGGTTAAAGTTGTGAAAAAGAAGAAGAGAGTTTTTACTTTTGTTGAAGGAAGGTGTTCATCTTGGTGGAGCTTTGGACTCAATAACTTGTCTAGAGTTTGTTCGAGTCATACGACGTAATCGGGCTGTTGTATCCTGGGGAAGACAAGTCAAGAGGATTACTGCTGGACCAGTAAAGACTTTGCTGTAGTGGGCTTGGATCTCCTTAAAGAGAGCGAGATATCCGCGCCTCAGCCTTAAGATATTTTATTTTCTTCATTTTATTTTTCAACTGTAATTGTATTTTCACCAACAATTTTAAGGAGATTCAAATGGCTACAGTTGAAAAATTTGCGGATATTAAGGTGGGAGATCTCAACAAGCCATTTCGTTTCAGTGGTACTCAATTCAAGAGATGGAAGGGTAAAGTATTTTTTATTTGAGTCTTCTCAATGTTTCTTGCGTTTTAACTGAGAAGAATCCAAGCAAATTAGACAATTCCTCCATGAATGATGATGAGCTATTTGCCTTCAAGAAAAAATTAAAAAATATAACGATGATTCATACAAGTGTCGGTATTATCTTCTTAATTGTCTATCTGATAATTTTTATGATTATTATGATAGAACTTACTCTATTGCAAAGAAAATTTGGAAAGCATTGCAGAGTAAGTATGATACTGAGGAGGCAGGTGCGAAAAAATATGCTGCTAGCAGATTTTTTCGTTTTCAAATGGTGGACAACAAATCTGTAGTAGACCAAACTCAAGACTTCATAATGATCATTGGAAAGCTCAGGTCCGAGGATATTAAAATTGGAGACAATCTTATTGTTTGTGGCATAATAGATAAACTTCCATCTTCATGGAAGGAATTTCAAAAAACTATGCGTCACAAACAAAAGGAAACTTCACTTGAGACGTTGATAATGCGGATTCACATGGAAGAAGAGGCAAGAGGCCAAGATGCACTTATGCAATCGGAAGAGAGCACTCTACAACCCGTCACTACAAAGGTAAATTTAATTACTTCAAATAATATTACTCGTGAAACTCACAAAAATACTTCTTTGAAGCCGAAGAAAAAGACTTTTAAGAAAAATTATGGTAGACTTCCCCAGAAGAATAATGGTGAAAATAACCAAGCACAGAATCAAAAAGTTCAAATTGCGAAACCATGCTTTGTCTGTGGCAAGAGTGGGCATATTGCTCGATTTTGCAAATTTTGGAAACGTGGTCCTACACCACTGTCAAACATTACCGAAGAGCCACTTATGGCGGTGATAACAGACATTAACATGGT